GAGAAAAACAGTTTCCTTCTTAGGTTTGTTCCCTTATAATTATTAGCAATCCAAGTTCTATGACTCTAACTCAGGAAGAGCCAAGTCCAATATCAAATGACACTGAACAAAGTGACAACTTCTTTCAGAGGTATTTTAAAACTCCTATCTTTCAATTTTCTAAACCATACTAAAGACAGGCAAAATTACAGAAATTCCCTTATTCAGAATATTAAGGAAATTAAAATTGTTATGACTTCCCATTATAAGGTCCTCTCTAGGAATTTTCTGTGGATTATTCTTTTTACCATCTTCAATGGTAACCACTGTCCATCTTAGGGGGGTGATTTTGCTTTCTGGAAACAGCTGAATGTTACTTAGAACCAAGAGGGGTAGAAAAAGATCAAGAAAGAGAACATACTTTCAGATGCTGAAAGTGATACTAATTAGATGATAATACAACTGGTTTTCTTATACCCTGTTACCTTCCTTGATGGTATTTCTAAGGAGAGGAGTTTCAAAAGTAACTTAAATGACGGCAGCATCATTAGAGTAAGGATTAGCTTCCCAATTAAAACCAGATGCTTTTGAAGAAAACAACACTCAATTAGCTGTCAAAATTCTGATATGTCTGCTAAAGAAATCATTAATAAGAATCATATTTAGGAGTATCCATTTAAACCTTATGTGCTCTGAGGCCTGCATTTTAAAAAATACTGGGACTTGAATTTGGTGATCTAGTTGTTTGAATGCTATAAAAGGAAGAAAAACAATGTGTGATGTCTTCTGGTATAGTTACTACTATTGCACAGCTGGAATAAAAGCAAATCAGAAACATATGCTCACAGTATTTGCCCATTTTTAAATGGCAGATCATTGATTATACATTTTAAAAGAATTGAAATCTTCAGATATTGTTTTGTTGGAATAGGTAGGAGTGTGTGTGTAATATTAAAAAAGGAAAAATTGATATCCAAAACTCGGTGATGATTTAGGCTTCTATTCAGATAAACAAAAAAGAGCAACCCGGTTTAGTTAAAAGCCCTATAATTCTCTAAAATGTAAATACTGTTACAGTAATAGTAAGAACTATAGAAGATAACGGAAGAACATCAGGATTATATAAATCCTTCATAGTCCTTCCAAAGCATAATAATATATGTATTTAGAACCCTAGAATTCTATAATCTTAAAGACCATGTAGTCCAAACCCATCATCGTATAAATAAGGAACAGCAGCTCTGAGAAGTGAAGCACCTGCTGAAGGCCACTCGGCCACTGACTGGCAAAGGTGAGGATGAGACCCCAGGTGGCCTGTCCTGCCCAGGCCTCTTCTCCCACCAGCCTGCATCAGGTTCCCACACCTGTGAAATGAAATGGATGGACTAGAGGATGGTCTCTAAGGTCCCTCTTGTAGCTCAGTATATAGTTTCATAAGTCTATCAATTATCAGCACACTACACTCATCTCAAATAAACCCTTTTAGTTCAGGGATGATGCTATAAACTAAGGGAGGCCCGGTTTACTGAGTCACTCACATGTATTCCTTAACAGAAAAACAGTTCTCCCCTTTGAGGCTCTACTCCTAAAGAATAAGCCCAAGATAATTTCATGTAATTATCTCCCTCAGGCTTCCTCCAACCACTCTCTGGCTTCTAGTCTGTTCATTGTCATTAACAGCCTCCATTAAGCTTTATTGAGCCAGATGACTAGATAATATATCTCAATGCGATTATGGGTAATACATGAAAGGAACAATTTAGAGACACTTACCTAATTTCTAAACTGTACTCTTCATGGTTTCAATTAAAGTGAGAAACTAGATATTTCATTACATTTCTAATATGTATGTACGAAAAAAATCAAATTGGAAAACATAGGCATAAAACATTATTCTTATTTAAAAATAAACATTTCCTTCATTAGTTTATACATTCTTTCTATGTCCAGGGAAAAGAAGAGAATTTTGATCTTCAATAATATTCCTGTCCGTGAAGGGGCAACCAAGTCTCATTTGCACTGCTATCCAATGATGGAGCTCTTCAAAGACATCTTTTTTAATTCTCAGTAGGAAGGTTGTGCCTCCCTCAATTTTGGAAATTATCCATTATCCTAATAGAGGCCTTTCCTTAGCTCCTTAGTTTCAGCTGGCATGGGAAATATGTCAAGTCAGAAAGGAAGACTGAAAGATTCAGACTTTTCCTCTGATGGCTTTCAAAGGCTGCTCTCGCATCACTGGGGTCAAAGCTTGACCTCCAAAGTGCAGTGTTTTGCAGGCTGTTGTTGCTGTTCAACTTTCTTTTTTTCCCCTTAAAGTGCAAATGTGAGGAAGAAGAAACAAAAGTACTAGATAGAGAAACAAGCAAATGGCCTTGGAATTTTATTTGTACAAATCTGATCAACTAAGAGTTCCCCCTTCTGATCATGGAAAATGGCATTCAAGGAAGAGAACCACAATGGGGTTTCTCTGTGCCCACCTCTTTTCAAAAAGGTGACTTTAGAAGACTGCTTTCCAGGTAAGGAAAAAAAATACACTTCAGTGAGTAAGGACATATACAGAGGGTGACCATGAGGCATGTTGTCATGTCAGTGCAGGGTCCTTTATTTATCTTATGAACAATAGTCTAAGGTCAGTGAGGAACTATGCTTTGTTTCGTTTTTTAATCTAGGAAGCCAAGGAAAACCAGCTGAACATATTTCATTGGCTGCATCCTTCAATTCAAACATCAGAGAGAAAGAAAGGTAAGTAGCCAGGGTCAAATTGTGCCTAGCTAGTCAGCACACTTATTTCTGATTATTTGAAAATAAACAACATGCTTATTCTACAAAGACAGAGGACCTGCTGAAAGCTTATAGCAACACACAAGTCTACTCAAAATGATTCCATATGTTACACTGTAAGATTGTTGTGTAGTTATACAAGGGAAAGAGATCAAAACCCTGTACAGACACCTGATATCGGACTGGAAACGCCAAGTGGAAACAGAACTATTCAGCGTCTTCATTTATACACAATTTACAATATTTGATTCAAAATAAAAATCACAAGAAAAATACATCTGTTTCTGCTACAATTCCTTCCCCTCCCCCATCCACCCCCCAGTGAAAAGTCTTCTAATAAAAGGTATCATATTACCACCATTGTCTTGTTTTGGTCTAATTCTGAGATCCCGGCTTGGGAGAGTTAACATGAAAAGGAATGGCAATATTTGGGATTTATAAATGTACATATTTTATCCAAGGATCTCAAGTACTTGCAGTCACGTCTCCAGATCTGAGAAATCACGGTTCAATGGAAGCCAGAATGCTGGACGAATGCTGGGCAGGTTGCATGGGGTGTAAATCCCTTGGCTAAGTCTATGATCAAACAAGGTCAAAGTTGGTTGGCTAGAGCTGGGTTCACATTCTCTTTTCAAATATATACCATCAGTCAGTCAGTTTTACTCTCTCTTAAACCACACACTCATCTCCAGGCTACCGCCTTCTCCAGGCTACTGCCTAGAGTTAAGACCAACTGAAGAAGCCATATCCTCATGATAATGCAGCAGGATAAAAAGCAAAAACAGAGAAACAAATTCAGCAGCATCTGGCCAAAGGAGACAGGGGTTGGGAGGATTGATTTGGGAGGCCATTCCTAGCAAGAATAAGACAAAGGTGTCAATTCACTAGTTTCAGTTACAGTTAAGCTTTTGGTGGAGTTGATTCCAGCAGAGGTGAAGCTCATGGCATCTAGCGCTTGATTTAAGTTAATGCTATTGAAGAAGGGTAATGAGAAAACACAGCAAACTAACAGGGAGGAACTGGCCAAGGACTATCTGGAGGGCCAAAGTGATTTTCTTTCCTTATCATTTCTACAGGAGAAGGCAAGGGGTAGGAGATAAGGGCTAGAGGGTCCCTTATTTGCAGATTTTTAAAAAAATCATTTTCTTATAACTCCGTAATGAAAATGTATATTACGGTATGAAGGTTACAGAACTGCATCTGCTACTGGGTCACGGCTACAGGTCTATGAGCTGATCCACCAGCAGTAAAGACCTGGCTAGGTTGGGAAGACTGGACTCAGAGCTCCCACTGCTGTTTCTAGAGTGCCCACCTGGAAGTGGAGAGATAGGAATTCAGTACAAAACACAGAGGGTTACGGTTTAGATGTGCAAAGCAAGCAGAGGAGAAAAAAACCAAAACAAAACCCTAGAGAAGCAACAATTTACATTGGCAAATTCTTACATCTTGATTTTTAAACATATAAATTAGGTATTCACCACCTCCCACCAAAAGTTCAGGCACTGTGTGCATACCATACTAAGGCAGGACACCTTACAAAAGAGGATGCTATTTTCAAATGAATATATATTTTGCCTGAGAACTTCCTAATAACATTGAGTCATCTCCCTGATAAAGTAAAAATCAATCATTTTTGTTTTGCAGAGAAATCAGTTATTAAGACCACTGCAATAAAAACATGCTTTAAAAAACATATATAGATGGTCCTATGGCAATTCGGTGTTTTCTGGCATGTTCAAATGATTTTAATCCATCAGAGGAAAAAGGATGCTCCACAAATGTCCCAATAGATGCAAATGATACCAAAGCATGATTGCTAATGTCTTTGGGAAGAATATTTATTACAGATTGTTCTAATCATGATAAAAAATGTTCAGTGCTTTTTTTTTGATATATGCCTTCAGGTTTCCACTGACTGAAGATCACTTTATTTTTGGCTTGATAATTTGTAAAAATCAGCTTTTAGTCAAACCATTCAATACTTTTCTTCTCTCTAAATAAACGCCATGGTCACGCTTCAAGGTATGTGTATATATATATATATATATATATATATATATATATATATATCAATATCTCTGTATCTAGCTATACTGGTCCAGCTCACAAGGACTGTCATTACCCGAATTTCCTTCATTAAAGCTTGATGCTTTTTTTCCCCCTTGTAGATTAGGTACATTACTTATTTTGTAGAGAGCCGATGTCAAGCTCTTTTTTTTTCCCCATCCTCTCTTTCTTACCTTGTGGGTTTTTGGTTATCAATACAGGAATAGGGTCAAACTCATCTTCTGCCACCTTGTCCGAGCCCTCAGGGACATCAAAACCTGAGATGAGATTACTATCTTCTGCAGCTTAATACAGAATGCAAGTACACAAGCAGAAACAACAGAGGTAAAGATTAGCAAAGGAGAGAACGTGTAAAGGGCACAAAGTTCCCAACCATACAATCACTGTTGTTTTTAAAGGTGAAAATGCTTATTTTTCTGAGTTGAAATAAAAGTAGCAAAATTAGAAACCTTAGGGAAATAGGAAAAGATGCTTTAGAGCTGGCCATGTTAAGACTTTTATAAATGATTAGGGAGAAGGGGTATAGGATGGATTGTCTCTACCATTATAAGACCATTTAATTGTAGTTATTGTGAGGCATCTCTTCAACATCAGTAATTCACAAAGGAAGAGGGACTAGTCATTTATCTTCTTTATTGAGCAAACAGAGACCTGACCAATAATATTTGAGGGGGGCGGGGGAAGGTAATTAGTCACTCTTTAATAAGCAAGTGCTATACACAAGGCAAACAAAATACTTCTGAGAGGACGGACTGCCCTGTGATTGGAAAAATAAAAATTTTCAAACAACTCTGAGGCCTCAGGAAATGTTGACTACAAGATCACACACACCGAGACTTCAAGCAGAAGTTTGTGAGAATATTCTTCTCCATTCTAATTAAGGCTATCCCACCAGCAAGTGCTCGCTGAGCACCTATTCTGCAAGCGATGCTTCTCTGTAATTACACATTACTGCTGACACACTCCTGCCAGACATACCTGGTTAAATAGGTAACTTCTCTCTACAGGCTCTATAAAAACATAATCACTTTAATGCTGTCAAAGGTAAAAACAAAAACCCAGCTATTACCAGGGCAAACCACAGGCTAATCATTTTTTAGTCATCTCAGGGACGCTTCCTCCTTAGATCTCCTTCAGAAAGGACTTAAGCTGTTCCTCTTCTATGTACTGCTCCTTCCAGAAAGCTGCTGTCACTACTCGAGCACAGAAAGAAGTTTAGTGAAGGCCTGCGTACAGTAAGCCTGGCACTGTGCCCAGCACTTTCACAAACCACTCACTGAACAGAACTCAATCCAAGTTCCCTCTGCCCAGCAGAATTTCAAACCAGTACTAACTCAAGACTAAGAAATGAAAATGGTAGATTAGAAAGAGAAATCCAGTAACCAGTCATGACTCAAAGGTTAACTAAAATTCAAACTTTTACAAGTTCAATCTTTGAAGACTGCCTTTTGAGGAATGATGCCTGTTTCTTTATTGTAGTAATCACTACAATAAATCACGCAAAAACTTTAAATCAGATTTGATGAAACAATTTTAAGTTCTAAGGCCTAAAAGTATCATATTAATAATTAGAGTCAGTTCGTGGACAGTCAACTCAACGATCTACGGGGGCTGACTGCAAAGGTATGGAGCTCCGCCTTTAACAGACAACATGAACTATCTGCTCTCTGGGTGACGGCCAGAAGGCAATACCTCACTAACCGGTTGCCTAAGCTTTCTTAAATGTTATTACTGAGAGAGATTATAACACAGTGGCTAAGAGTACAAACTCAAGTTTTCCACATAAAGGACGTGGTTAAAAAGTTTCACTAGCAAAGACCTTTGGTGAGGAAAATTCTCAGGAGTTGTTCAGTTCTCCTCTAAGGATGCATGTGGGCCCGAGACGAGGAAAGCATTTACCTTTATGGGCCGGAGCAGAGATCGCTATGGGAGCAAACTCTTCCAGAAGGTCAGCAGTAGGGTTAGAAAGCAGAGAGTAATCAATCAAGGAATCTTCCCCAGTGAGAGAATCTGAGTCCAGATTAACAGCATCCCAGGTCAGTGATGGCATTAAATGGCACACACAACAATATCACAAAATTAGATCTTAGCCTTTAAGTTATTGCATTTACATGTTATACATACAAGCCAAGGTGGAAGAAAGAAAATCAAAAGGAACATATTAAGCCTTCTAGATTTTTATCCATAGAAACATGTATTTCTAGATTCCTCTTAACATTAATATATAAATATGGAAGAATTTTTTGCTCAGACTGTTGCTGTTAAGCAAGAATGTGATCTGGATGACAATAAAACCTTAGCACCTTAGTTCTCCACAAACGCCCTTTGGGAAAAAGACTTTGAAACTAAAGAGATTCATTGAGACTTTCCCTAAACGCTCACGGAAAAAGTTACTATAGGATGAGGTATCAAAGCTGACTAGGAGGGCGTTGTCTCTGTTTACTAATGCAGAATATGATATGATTAAACAGTACTTCTAGAACTCAACCAGATTCCCATTCAAAATAGAATGATCTTGCCTCTTACTAGTTTTCCTTAAATTTGAATTGCTCCTTTGAACATACGGTTTTGCTTTTAGTTAAAGAACAGAAGGAAGACAAAATTCAGAATTCAAGCATTTTAACACACAAATTGTTTTCTGGGAAAGTTTTCTAAGAGAAAACAGTCAAGCACAGGGAAAAGGAACAATATTGCCTTCTGTGTTAATTTTTTTTCCACCTAAATGACTTTATTGTCATACTTCCTAGACTTCTAATTGTTTCTGTTCCAAGTTAGGAAATTGGACACTTATCAAGGTAATTCTGGTCTCAATAAAAATGAAGGCTATCGAATCTATATTTATGGGCAGTTAAGAAACTCCACAAAGAGTGAACTTTGAAATTAGGATGAAAGCAATGGCAGGATCCAGGAAAGACTTCAACTTTGCCTACAATTTAACAGCAAATCACCTATATATGAGTAAAGCACTATGCTGGAAACAGAATGTCAACATATAGAACACGAACTCCATGGATATCACTGACATTGTCAGATAGGAAAGGCTGCTCAGAAATCTCGGAGGAGGTAAACATTTCCTTAGTGCTCAGCAGAGTTCTCTAATTAAGGAGGTGGAGGGAACCTGCCACCAGTAAAAAGAATCTTGAATAAATACTGTAACCAGAGAAAGCCAGGGACTACTCTAAAAGACCATGGCTCCAAAAAGTACTCTGCTCTTTAGCAACATCTAGAAGCTAGGTCTGTAACAATATGGAGCATCCATTCTAGGAGGAACTGACCAAGCTGCAAAACAAGCCCAGGATCATCTGCCATGGGTGGGAAGACTGGCTCTGAGGGCTCACCACAGTGACCAGTCCCTGCAGCTGGAGAGACACCTGACTGACCTGTGCGGTTCGAGGTCACAGATTCCGTCTGAGATGGGAGGCGCTGGGGGACCGGGGGCTCCAGTCCTGGTATGAGACTCTCAACAGCAACATCAGCTTTTTCTTTTGTAACAGAGCATTAAGAAAGGAGAATAAAGGGTAAGGTAAAGAAGAGTCAGAAGCTTCTTTAGACAATTCTGTTAAGACTTTCTTCTACAGGTCTCTAAAATGCCAGTCTCAGGTGAGATGGACAGCACAATGAGTTACTTTATTTCTGCTGCTCTGAGTTTCGGGGCTTCACTGACTGAACACGCATGTGCACGGTTAACTGCTATGGCTAGTCCCAGTGATTCTGTTTTTACAGATAAATGAAAAACGTGAGCCACCCAGCAGATTTCTTCTATGCCAGAAGACATAGGCTGAAAGGTACCTTAATATCTTCTGGTAATTTTGCTTTTCTTAAGGGATAAACTTGGGGGCAAACATCCTCTGTGCCTTGCAAAGGCCATTAGTCCATCTCAAATCTTACCCCATGACGTAGCTGGGAGGTATTCTGCACTGTGTGACATCCCCCAGTTGGAGGCCCATCTCTCTGTAGGGTCATGGCCTTTCTGAGTTCTAGGACTCTGTGTCGATGGAGTACAGGGGCCCTGGACATTTTGTAGGTCTTGCCTGCCTTGCAGTTGGAGCACAGGAAAATGTCAGAGCAAGCAGACCAAGCCCCTGCCCAGGATTCTACTCATGGGCTTCACCGCTGGGCAAGTGTTTTCTGTTACTGATTCTTGGAACATACAGAGGCCTTTTGAAGAAGAATGTACTAAAGGTTAAAGTCTAGCTCAAAACAACTGTTTCCATGAAGGTTTTGTAACTAATTTGTGAATTTTCCCACCTTCCTCCTCATTCATAAGAAATTCACTCCAGAAATCTCAGGATATCAAGAAAGGCAAAAATAACAGCACTGTGTCCCTGGAAGGCAGAGAAAACACTTCATTTGGGGTGGTGACAAGTGAGATTAAACAGCCTTGGCTTCTGGGTTGGCACAAGGCACTGTTCCAAAACCAGCAGACTTTGTGGCATTTCCACTCCTCACCAGGGCTATTCACTAGGTATCTGTTAACTAGTTAGTTACTGTTCTCGAAAAAGACACACATATCATGCATGACTAAAGAATGAGATGATGACTTTACCAATCACAGCATCGGAAGTACTACCAAAAGGATCTGTCATAGGCAAGAGGTCAGGGAGCAGAAGAGAAGTGTCAGGAGATTTGAGTCCCTCAATTAGTTTTTCTAGGTTGGGCAGAGAGGTAGAGAGAAAGCAAAAATGCAATGAGATGTTAAAACAAGCTGATCATTTACCATTCTCTATGTAAACACATTTTAGAGGTCAAAATTTTGTATGGATTCATCATAAAAATGAATACTGTCAGCATCTTATTAAAAACAGACTTTCAAAGTATAAAAATGATCATTTCCTCAACCGAAGCAGTCACTTTGTAAGGCATTCAAGATGCTGCTCTAGGTTTATTTGTTTATTTTTAAATTTTTGGTATAATTTACACTAAATAAAAGTCACCAATTTTAAGCATACAATTTGATGAGTTCTGACAAACGTACATATTCAAATAAGCATCACTGTAATAATGATGTCGAACATTCCCATCACCCCAAAAAGTACCATTGTGCCCCTTTCTGGTCAATGTCTTCCTCTCACCCCCAGACCCTAGCAACAACTGATCTGCTTTCTGTCCATATAGCTTTGTTTTTCTAGAATTTCCTATAAACGAAACCATACAGTATGTAGCCTTTTCTGTCTGATGGTCTTCATTTAGCATAATGCTTTTGAGATGCCTCCATGGTGTAGCATGTACCAGTAATTTGTTGTTTTATCGCTGAGTAGTGTTCCACTGCATGAATATACCACATTTTCTTGTTTCATTCACCAACTGAGGGACATTTGGTTGTTTCCAGTTTTTAGCTATTAAGAATAAAGCTGCCAGAAACACATGCATGTAAGACTTTGTGTATTCATATCCCTTCCTGGGCTTAGTTTTAAAACTCTTTTCTGGACTTGCATTTAGAAATGGTTTATAACTCACCAAGAGAATCAATTAAACCACACCTGGGTCAACTTCCACAATCATTTATTGTCTGCCAACTAAGAGCCTGTGACTGCCGGGACCGTTATTATTCTATGGCCAAATCTCAAAAAATTCACTTAAGCTTGCAGATGGATTACTTTTGATGTCTTTTGGCTAAGAAACAAAAGGACATCGGAAGCCACCAGATTTGTTGTGTCTGATAACTTAATGTGTGATAACATGTACAAATTAAGATTCCTTCTGAGGGCCAGCCCCATGGCCGAGTGGTTAAAGATCTGTGTGCTCCATTTCGGTGGCCCAGGGTTCACAGATTCAGATCCCAAGTGTGGACCTACTCCACTCATTAACCATGTTGTGGAGGCATCCCACATACAAAGTAGAGGAAGACTGGCACAGATATTAGCTCAGGACTAATCTTCCTCAAGGAATAAAAGAGGAGGATTGGCAACAGATGTTAGCTCAGGGCAAATTTTCTTCACACACACACAAAAAAGACTCCTTTCAAAACAACTCCTTTAGCCCTGATCCATCAACAACTCTCTATTTACCTTTAATATATTAAAGGTTAGTGCATTAACTTGAAATACAATAATGAATCATAGAGTGTTACAGAAAGAAGGGAATTAAGAGCTCATTCTTTTATTTACAAGGAGACTAAGGCCACATAAATTCTGTAACTTGCCCAGTTAAAGGCCTGTCAACAATGTTTTCTATCTCACAGAAATAAAATTTCATTAAGATAAAACTAAAATTAAAATGTTTGAGAAAAAGAAGTGACTTAGAAAGTTCAAGTATGTGTATATCACATTTTAATGAATCTGTATTTTTCTAGGTCATCAGGAATTGAGATAAGCAAAGACAAAATTGACATTCACTGAGGGGTAGGAACCAAATTTTAGGTTATCTATAATTTAGGTTATCTATAACGACACGGGTGAAACAAAATGATGGATTTTAGTGTCTTGGCAAGATAAATTGTTTTGGTACAATTAACACACTGCAGAAAAAGACATTTTTACATCCAAAACCAATTTACCATCTTCAGAGTATACGGCATGTAGATATCTTTGAATTAAATGACAATATGCTACATTTCTCATTTACTCCTGATTTACACTGAAGAAAGGAAGAAAAAAAAGAAGCTTCTCAACAGCAGGGAAAAAAATCCAGGGTACTAGCCAAATATACAAGTGTAATCACACCAGCATTAACCTTGCACTCTATAAGACATTTTACTATAAGAAGTTAAAAATACCTTTGACAGTTTTCTGCATATTGGCAAAAATAAGATGGTTTTCCCAACAAGCTTAATTTTTCATTATTCTGAACACTAGTTTTTCTTTTATTACCCCCAAAAAGCTGCTTCTACTTAAAAAAAAGTAATTATTTGCTTCTTTCACTTTTAGCACTCATATATTTGCAATCTTGTGAAGCAATGGATAAAAAATAAAGACTCAAAATTATTTGTCTTTCATACAGCAGTTTACCTTGGTGTAAAACCTTAAGCTAGCATTCTTTTGGAGTCTGAATTCCAGAGTCCATCTCCAGTGACTGGCTGTGACCCTGGGGTAGTTCCTTACACTTCTGACATTACCTGTTCAGCTGTAAAATGGAGACGTACCTCCCCCAACCTTTGTGTGTTGGTCACTCAAGTATTCGCTCCTCTAAGCCTTTCTCCACCCTCCCCGCCTCTTCAGGGACCTTTGGAGCACCCTGTGCTCACTTGTCTTGCAGCTCTTACAACATGACTGAAAGCAGGGAAGGTGTCTCATTAATCTCTGTACCCCAGTTCTTGGTTCCCTCTCATACTCTATATCATATCTCTGCCTTTTGGCTTCATTGGAGAGGTAGGGAGAACAGGGGATCAACTGGAAAGAGTTAGGAACTTCAACAAGAATCTATTTTATTAGCCATTAGCAAAAAGCATGTGAGAGGGTAAAAAACTACGTGTGGGCATGAGCGCGTACATGTGTTGTGTGGTGAGACGGAATGGGGTGGGGATGGGGTAAGTTGCTAAATTTAGGGATGCTTATTTTCTGATCAAACCTCAAAGTAACGGGCTATTCACATAGATACTTTGTATGGTCACTGCAGCTTGGGAAGACTCAGAAACTGGAACGTGAGAGGGAGGATCAGGGGACACAGTAACACCAGGCAGAAACCTAAGAGTGAGAGTACAGGGCCACAGCATAAGTAAGGTAGCTGGCATGTGCAAAAACAGCTTCTTTCACTCCCAGGACTCTCAAAGTGAGAGAAGTCTCCCAGTTAGTGCTCGTGCCCAGCCGCCATACAACAACAGTCATCACATTTGTAGAGTTTAACGTCAAACATTTTCATTCATTATTCAAAAAAACCCTGGGTTTGGGAATACTGTTAAAGTTGAGAAGAATGGACATCAGAGACTGTGAGAATGTTACTTGCAAAGTCATAGATGGAACATGAGAAAGCCCGGACTTGACTTCAAGTTCCCTCCATACGCTGCCTACTGGACCTGCCTATCTCCATCAACACAGGAGATAGGTCTTCACATAGACACAGTCCCATGCACAATGGTCAAGTTATCAAAGACACGTAGGCACAGGAAGGAAACTCAGATCTTATTCAATTAGGCTTCTCATTCACAGATCCAGATCAGCTTCAGAGAGGGGAAGCAAGTTGCCTAAGAGCTTACAGCAAGTAAGCCACAGAGCTAGCTAGGACTAGGGGCTAGATCTTCTATGCACTAGAGATTCACTCCTCTGGTTTAACTCCGGCTTCGATTACTTTAAAATGTAAAGACTATTAGAAGAAGCCACATCTAAAGCTATTATAGGTCACTTTTGGTCACTGTAAATGAAGAACTTTGAGATCAAGATGTAATGGGAGGCACAAGAAAGGCTACAGGAGGTTGAAAGTCTATAAATCACAGTCTGGAGGCCTCCCATGTGCATCAAGGGCTGGCCTTGATATTCTCCATTTTATGAATTCTGTCCTCGCTCCTACAGTTTTATAAAAACACTATGAGGCCATGGATCATGATGGGGGGGGGGGTGAATTTAGGAAATTGTGCAGGAAGAGTTAAGATCCAAAATCTTGATCCAGCTCCACATTGGCATATCACAACTTGACGACATCTAAGGAAAGAAGGCTTTTTAAAATTTTACATGAATCATGGGAAATGGCTTCGCTGAATGCAAAAGCAAAACCCATATTCTGGGACAGTTCATACCTAAAATGTTCAAAGATTCACGCTCTATTTTTCAATTATGCAAGGTTACAGTCCAGTAAAACCCAGAAATAATTCATAAATTTCACTTCGCAATGATTTAATCTTCCTAAGAAACATTTTTCAAGAGTTTTCCATCTCCTTCGTGTTAGAATCACAGGTCCGTGACCCCAACTTATTCTAGTACATGGGAAAGGCAGTGGGCAATTTTGGATAGAAGAAAATGGTCCAGTTCCCAGGCTGCCTCTGATATTTTCAGAATCTAAGTATCCGTTGTGTTTGTGTTGGGGAGAATACCCAGACTTGGGGAGGGTATTATTTAATCTTTTATTGAGATGCTGTACATTTGGGGGACTTTAGCTGGGGTCTTCAAAATCCCAAAAAATAAATAAGCAACATGAAAGAGTAAAAGAGCCTGAATTTAAGTTAAAGTTATCTAACTTTTCTAAGCATCAGTTTTCTCACCTGTAAATAGAGGATAAAAACTAAAGAGCTGCCAGGACTTAATGGACATATTTATCAGAATTAACGTGTGTGTGTATAAATTAAAGTGCTTGGTACATAAAAGGAGATTAACTTCTCTTTTAAGTAAGAGGACTAGATGAAGGGTCACCAAGACACAGATGCCTGAGATTACAGTAGTGAAAATGGGTAGAGTTCCAGATTTTACTCAAATGCTTTGGTGCGAGATCAGAATAAGGAGAATTACTTGAACAAAGTGAAATGTGAGGAAGGGGCAGCATGGTCCTATTGGGAAGAAGAAAAGTCACTAAGAGACAAGAGACCGGGGTTCTGCACTAACTTTATGTGGCACTTTGGGCAAATCACTGTCTCTCTCTGGATCTCAGTTTTCTTCTTGATAAGAAAGTTTGAAGATAAACTTAAAGGTCCTATCCCCCTCTAAAAGTCAATTATCCAACGTAAAGGGAAAAATAGGAAGTAGGAACTAGTTGCTTAGAAAACGGACTGCTTAGAAATGAAAC